CTTTGCAGAATACTAAGCGGATTTCTATCTAACCTGAGAAGTTATGCTCACATTCCCTTCCCGAAGCCCGAAATACCCATGGCTCTTGGAGCCCACTTCCCCCTCTGCCCCTGCTGGCTCACTCCCCATGTGCTCGCTTGGCACCTGCTCCCACCCCAGCCTGGCTGCGCTTGGCATATTGGGATTGCCAGTGCTCTGGCTGCCTCTTACCCATGAGCTTGGGTGGGGGTGGGGTGGGGGGGGTGGAGGTGGGAGTGGGAGCCATATGAGGCTCATCTTTCATCAACGTTGTGTCCTCGGATTGTGCACAGGGCCGGGTTCCCAGGAGGAGCTTGAGAACAATTATCGGCTGAGTGAATGATCTTGAGCTTATTCCTCACCTTCTCCTCAATTTTTTTTTTGAGTTTATGTTGTCCAGGCTGGAGTGCAGTGGCATGCTCCCAGCCACCGCAGCCTCGACCTTCTGGGCTCCCGCGATCCTTCTGCCTCAGCCTTCCAAGTAGCCGGAACTACAGGCGTGTGCTACCATGCCTGGTTAATTTTTTAAAATTTATTGTAGAGACGAGGTCTTACCAAGTTGCCCGGGTGGGTCTCAAACTCATGGGCTCAGGCAATCTACTTGCCTCAGCCTCCCAAAGTACTGGCTGGGATTACAGACTGAGCCACCGAGCCTGGCTGCAATTTTTTTTTTTTTTTTTTGAGTCAGAGTCTCACTCTGTCACCCAGGCTGGAGTGCAATGGCACACTCATGGCCACCCCAGCATCAACCTGCTGGGCTCTGGCAATCCTCCCGCCTCAGCCTTCCAAGTAGCAGGAGCTACAAACACATGCCACCAGGGCCGGCTAGTTTCTGTTATTTATTATAGAGACGAGGTCTCACCAAGTTGCCCAGACTGGTCTCGAACCTGTGGGCTCAGGTGATCCTCTCACTTCGGCCTCCCAAAGTGCTGGGATTACAGGCTGAGCCACCACACCCAGCCTTCTCCTTGATTGTCTTACCTGTAAAATGGACATCCTGGTATCCCTCTGCAAAAGATATAAAGGTTTCATGAAATAAAGAATTCAAGCACTCGGGATCCTGTCTGGTCCCTGGTGGGCTTTGGTCTTCCATATCCTGGGGGCTAGATCCCAAAGCTAGGACGTGAGGTTCTGACTGGAAGGACACCAGGCCATGGGGGGGAGGTGGCTCATGGTGGGGCCAAGGCAAAGAGGCAAAGAGTTATTTGGTGGGACAGGCAGGGCAGCCTGGACAGAGAGTCCAGTTGGGGCCAGAAAGGACAGGAAATGCCCTTAAATAGGTCAGGCAGGTGTCTAAGGGGAGGATCTGAAGATCAAGCTGACATGTTGGACTGTCCCAGTTGCTTAGCGGGAGCTATCGGAGGCTGATGAGGAAGCGAGGAATTTGATACAATTATTTCAGTCAGAAGACCCACCACGGGAGTGCTCCTCTGATAACCTGGCCTTGATGTGTGGAGTGTGAATGTGTGTGTGTGAAGGCATGTGAATGTGATGGTGCATGTGTGCTTGTGAGTGTATGTGCTGACTGCTGTCTGCACCACCCTGCTGCAAGGGGTCTGTGACCTCTCCTCTCATCTGACCTTCACCAGAACCCCAGGAGGTGAAGACTGCTCCAATCCCCATTTCACAGGTGTGAAAACGGAGGCTCAGAGGTTAATCCGTTTGCCCAAGGTCGCTGGGCCAGGACTCTCAGTGCAGCTGTATTTGATACCCATGAGGAGGAGTCTCAGAAGACGAAGTGATGATAGACAGTGGCTTATCCTTGTAGTGTCCTTGGTCTTCGTGACGTGGGGCATCTTTCACCGTTTCGTGTGCTATTTTGGTCATCGGGATGCTCTCTTTCAAGTGAACTCAACAGCACTCCTTGGGCCCCTCACCTGGGCCAGGCCCTGAGTGGGGCTCAGGGACCCAAGACCATCTTTGAAAACTGTCAGAGTGGGGCAGACATCAAAGGCTGTGAGGCAGGACCCCCATGCTTTAAAAACTTGAGGTGTTGGCCGGGGTTGGTGGCTCAGCCTGGAATCCCAGAGCTTTGGGAGGCCAAGGTGAGTGAATTGCCTGAGCCCACGGGTTCGAGGCCCGCCTGGCCAACTTGGCGAGACTTCATCTCTACAATAAATCAAAAAAATTAGCTGAGCGTGGTAGCGCGGCCTGTAGTTCCAGCTACTTGGAAGGCTGAGGCGGAAGGATCGCCGGAGCCCAGCAGGTCGAGGCTGCGGTGGCCGGGAGTGGCCACTGCACTCCAGTCTGGGCGACAGAGTGAGACTCCAACTCAAAAAAAAAATAAAAATAAAAAAAAATAAAAAATGAAAACTTGAGGTGTGACACAGACAGGAAAATGTGCACATTAAATATCTGCTTGAGAAGTTTTACACATGTAATCCCCCACAAAACCCCTCCGGGGAGATACAATATTCATTTTCCCAGCCCTCCTTGTCCTCCCCCACCGAGCGCGGCCTTCTTCTGACCTCTGTTGCCAAGGTTTTGCCTGTTTGCAAACGTCTGGGGCACGCGTCTTCTTAAAAAGCATCTTCAGTGTCAAAATCCTGTATTCAGAGAACAAACCAAGGCCCTGGTCAGACACAGTGCTGGGGTGAAGGGTGGGTACAGTGGCAGGCCGAGCCCCAGGGAGGCCCTGGGTGCCTGGGCTGGCTGGTGATAGGGCAGGCGACCAGGCAGGCAACTGCACCACCCTGACGCTCCTGTGCTTTGGTGGTGAGGACGTGTGGTGTTCCCTGGCTTTCGACAGCGTTCAGTGCACCCCACACCCGATCTACGGCCCCTGCCGTCTCTCCAGCGGCCCCCGGCCCCCCACCACGCCTGTCCAGTTCCTGGCTGGGCCACACCCACAGCAGCAGCGCTTCTTGGATGACGGTCTTGGAGCAAGAGACTAAATTTCTGTTTCCATTTCTTTATCAAATGTGGGATAATCACAGTACCTACCTTGTAGGTTTGCTAAGAGTACGAAGTGAATCGATATTAGATACGTGAATATTTGTCCAGAGCTTAGGAGAGTATCTGATATGTAGTATGTGCTTATGTAAAAATTAAATAGAATAAATAAACCTTGATCAAATCTTAGATGTTGGAAATACACAGAAGACACAGAGGCTCTTACAATTGGGCACTCAGCTCTTGGTGGGGGGGCTTGGAGATTTTCCTGATTATCATATAAAATGGGTGAGGGCTTCAGGTGGAAGCAAGAGCCTCCGGGCTAGTCCTCATGGAGGAAGGGAGCCCTTGTCTTCTCCTTCGCACAAGGAGGAAGCCCAAGGAGGTGCCCAACAAATGCCACATGCTTGACTGATTTCCCGGTGAACAGGAAACAAGCCACTTAGCGCCCATCATCTTTCGTTTTGCCTGTTAACCTCCAGCCCCAGAGAAGCGAGGCCCAGGTGCCGTGTAAAATGGATTCCCAAGTCTCTCTGGCTGGACACACAGTCCATCATCCCCCGCCTTCCCAGGGAATGGAAGGCATTTCTTCACCCACTCAGCCCCGATTCAGGCCTGGAACAGCCCATTCCTGCAAGCAATGCACATATTTCACGGGTTGGGCCCTGGGGGAGGTGGAGAGCTGAACTCAGGCCGAGGGCCAGGAGCTTCCTGAGTTCTGGGTTACAGCCAAGGCCCTGGCCCAGGAGGCAGGTGACCTTTCTGAGCCCTACAGGAGGCTCGCTGGCTCAGGTGGTCCTGGAGCACATGGACCAGGGCAGGGAGCGTAGATGCTCGCGGGGGGACGCGTGGATCTGAGTTCAAGTCTCAACTTAACTGAAGATTCCGTATGAGACTGGCCATGTCACCCCCTTCCAGAGCCTCCTCTTTCCTTCTCTGCAAGATGGGCATAGCCACAGCTAGCTGATAGTTATGAGAATTAAGACGAGGCAGTAAGTACAGTGTAGGGGAAGAGTCAGACTCTCAGGTTTCAAGCCTTGGCTCTGCCATGGGCCACTGAGAAGATGACATCTCTGTGCCTTGGTTTCCTCATCTGTAAAACAGGAAGAATGCAAGTTCCTCCTGTTTCGCGTGGTGGTTGGGAGGATGACATGAGTTAAGAATTAACATAAGTTAATTGCATGAAGCCTTTGGCATGCTACTTCCTCTCATTAGCAATTTCTGTCATTTTGTAGCCAGTGTTCAATGCACGATGTGCCGATTACTGACTCAGTTGTTAGGTCAGACAGCCGAAGCCTGTCAGTAACACCATCCATTAGCTGTGCGACCCCGTAGATGTTACGCCACCTCTCTGAGCCTTGTCTATAAAATGGAGTCAATAACCTTATTGGACTCATGGAGTTATAAAGTTAAAGAAGAATTAATTGATGTAAAATGCTGGCACATCATCACCACGAAATATTATATGAATGCATTAACCTTATGACATAATTATCAAACGGTGGGAGGGTAAGGAAACTAACATTTATCGAGCATCTACTATAAAAACCAGCACTTGACATAAGTCATCAGCAAGGATACCATAGGATGAGTGTCAGACCTCTGCATTTGGGAGAGGAAGGAAATGAGACTCTGGGAAGGTGAGCGGTTGTCCAAGGGCCCACGAGCGGTAGGAGCCAACAAGTTCAGCCGTGCAGGGTTAGGGCTGGATGGAGGGTCCCAACACTTGGCAAGGGCTGCCATGTGCCGAGCATGGGCTCCTCCAACCCCCACGGTAACCCCAGAGGGGGTGCCATTGCCCCTTTTGTGCAGATGAGAAGTCCAACTCCCAGACTTCCTGCAGCTACAGTGTGGCAGGGCCAGAATTCAAACTAGGCTGTCCTCCTGGATTTTGGTCACCACCTTCCACTGGCACCGGATGAGCCAGGGGAAACAGAAGCTATATCTCTAAAACCTGAGCAAGAGGATCACACATCACAGATTGTTCCTGAGCCCAGGGGCCTGATCCCTCCTCTTGCAGGCTCCTGGGGACAGGTTGATAACACGAGGCCTCTGGGGCGCTCACAGAGATGACACCAACACCGGAAGAGGTCATTATTACCCAGAAATCTTTATTACAAAAATATTTTGCAAGCCAAAAAGTTTAAGTTGCAACTATATACAAAACGGGGCCTGTTTTCTTCCCAGCAGTCTTAAAATAAACAACTAAAACCACGCTCTTTCCGCAGAGTTGGCTCGACCTCTTCCTTTTCCTGGGGTTCGATACACAAGGTATGCAGAAGCTCCAGGGTGCCAGGCTGAAGCTAAAGCTATGCATCTTCCTTGGCCTCATTCCCTTATTCCCCCTCCAAGGCTTAAAGTAAAATAAAATCAAAATGGCACCAAGAAAACATTCTTTTAAAACTCTGCATGTGTGTCCGTATGTGAGCATGCCCCGTGTGTGTTTCTGTGTGTGTGTGTACACGTGTGTGCTGTCTCTGGGTGGAAGAGCGGAAGATGAAGGTTCACAAGCCAACCTTTTGGAATTTGGAACGAGCCCACACCAGGTGGCCGGGCCGCTATGGCCTTCAGATGCCACGCGGGAGCGCTGGCGCGTGGGGCTACAGCTGTCCATTGGAGCTGCTGGCTCAGCTCATTCCTACATGTCATCATGTAAAACACCAAGTCCCCGCCTCCCAGGATTTCCAGGAATGGGCAGGATGGTTCAGCCTCTCACTAGCACAGCCTGAGTCAGGCATCCCATGGGCACTGTGGCCAGGGGTCATGGATATCAGCATCTCAGCTCTCAAAGATCAAATCAACTGGGCTTGCCACACCAGCCTTGCGCCTGACTGGAAGGGTGGGGGGAGTCAAAGAGTGGCTGGGTCACAGCATCTGCCCACCCTCCTGGGACAGAGGGACAGACAGTTGGTCAGCCCTGGCTTCATAGCTGTGCCACCATCCTGTTGGCAGTCTTCGACTTATTCTAGTTTTATCCCAATAGGGTCTGAGAGCAGAAATGGAAGAGTCCTCCTTCAAGGATCAGCTCAGGAAGCTGGGACAGGGGCAGCTGCTAAAGGAGTGGGCGGACGGCCAGGCTCAGAGGCCCTACACTTGAGAGTCCCTAAAGTGCTTGTGAGACGTGGCAGGGAGGGGTGTCATTTTCACTCTCCCCGTTTTATGGGAAAGCAGACTGAGGCATTAGGTCTCGACAAGGCTGCACCGCCAGGAGGCAGCCCCGAGAAGCCCCGGGCAGGTGGGACTTACCACAGTGGGGTCACGGAGGCAGCAGTACCAGACATACGGCCTGGCTGAGACGCGGCCACATCAGTCCCTGCGAGAAGGCTAAGTGTCTCCGGGGGGCAGCCGGGCTGATCCTTCTTGCCCATCCTCAGGGCTCTGGGACGTGCAGGAATCAGTCTCTGCTGTAAGAAAATCCCTCCAGGACAACAAACCGTTAAACCTCAGACTTCACAAGACCCAACTAGTACTTCAACACGTGACAGAGAGCCAAGATAACGCTGCTGTTGTTTAAAGAAAAAAAAAACTGAACAAAACACCACAGATCAAGTTTTCTAACACCTCAGTTTCAAGATTGCACGTTTCACATTTCTCAATAATTTACAGGCGTCCACGGCGAGATGGTGCTTAGTGCTAGCTGGAGGGGCAAGCTTGGGTCTAAGCGGGAGAGGTGGGTCCGGGTGGGGCGTCACAGTCAGGCTCCAGGGAGTGGCGGAGGGACCTGAGGAAGTGGAGGGCTTTGTCTCCAGGTCCTTTGGGGGTGTTCCTCGGAGGGTCCCCTCCTCCTCCAGGGCTTCGAGGCTCTTCCGCCCAGGCTGGGGGAGGCCAGGACCGTCGGCCCCCACCTCGCCAAGTCTGGATGCGGGTTCCAGAGTGGTTTTCCAGCTTCTCCATAGATGGGGCAGTTCGAGCTACAGGGAGCATTCCCCCCAAAGCCCCGGTTGGGTGGTGATGGTGGCGGGAGGGGGCGGGACTTGTTCCGCCTCACCCCGGAAGATCAGGCTTCGGAGCACTGGGGAGGCAGCCAAGGGTCTCCACGACCCAGGCGGTGACAGACAGAGGCACAAGAGTTCTTGGACCCCAGGTGGCTCCGGCCAGGTCCCAGGTGGCTTCCCTGGCTGGTCTGGCAACATTAGCCTCTGGAAGCGTGGCAACGTGGGGAGCCGTGGCAGCCCTGGGAGTGCTAGAGAGCCAAGGGGGGTGGGCAGACGAGAACCCCCCCACCGCTGGGTCCCAGAGCCTGTGACCCCCCACCCCTAGCCCTCCGGGAACGGGGCTGGCTGTCCACATCGCGGCTGCTCCCTGTGGGACAAGAAAGCGTGTGAGACGAGCCCTCGAGACCATCGCGGTATGGTTCACTTCCTCTGGACCTGGACGCTGGCATACTCAGAGAAGGACGGCTCGGGCTTGGGGGCCGGCTGCTTGGGGGTCCGGTTGAGGTGGACCATGTCTAGGTCGGCATAGGTGAGGGTGTCCTCCTGCGCGGGTGGGGGGCCGGTCTGGATGCTGGCGTATTCCGTGTGGCTGTTGGGCTCCGCGGCCCGGGGGGCGGGCTTCTTCCCCTTGGGCAAGTTCAGGTCTGCATACGTGATGTCGTTTGTGTCCTGGACCTGGAAGAGATGGAGAGGAGGCCATTCTAGAGCCCCCAGCCCATTCGCCCAAGTCCAGATGCTTGTCTCCTTGGGGCCGTGTGGGCTCGGCTCTGAGTCGGGCTCCCCTGCCTCTTGCCAGCGACCTGCCTCCCACCTCCTCTCTTCCCATCCCCTTCCTCCTCGCCTGGCTTGATGGGTCCTTCTCCTGCCCTGCTTCCACGTCGCTCCACTTTCCCACGTTCCTCCCTCTGCCTAGAGTGTCTGTCCCCCTCCTTGGGTGACAAACCCCAACCTACCCTATACATTTCAGCTCAAGAACCGTCTTATCCTAAGACCCTTCCCTGCCCTCTGCTCCCCAGGGGTTCCAGCTTCCTTCTCTTGCTTCCTCAGCCCAGGTTTCCCTGGCACAGCGCTCAGCACCTAGGACTGTGTCTGGGGGCCTGAGTAGGTGCTGATGTTGGGTGGGTGGGGACATTCACGGACTCGTGTCTGCCACAAATATTCACTAGGCATTTGTTATACAGAAACCAAGGCCAGTACAGGAGCTTGATCCATGTTGACTGACTGACTGACTGACTGAATGAATGAATGGATGAATGAATGGAGTAGATGGCAATGATTACAGCTTTACTCAGGATATAGCTGGGCACTGGGAAACAGAGAATAGGGGCTGTGTGAGAATGAGACCACCGGTTAGCAGGGTGGGAATGGTCCTGGCATTGGATGGCTTGGGTCTGAATCTTGTTTCTATCTGAAGGACTTTGGGTAAGTCACTTGGCCTCCCCGGACCTCACTTTCTCCACTGTAAAGTGGGAATGATAACTGTGTCTATTGCCAGCACTTGGAGCCTGGCGTATACCCAGCACTCGCATTTAATAAATGTCAGCGATCATCAACCGCTCGGCAAACCTGAGCTTCCCATGTGCAAATCTTACCACCTGCCCCCACCACCTCAAAATCGCTGGGCACTGAGGAGGCAGAAATGGCGTGGAACTGCCACCAATCATGACTCCTCATTGGCACCCAGTAACTGCTGACCTCGGGGCTCAGGGCTCACACACACTCCACACACACCACCTCACTTAAGCCTCCCTACAGCCCTGCCTGAGAAGGATTATTTATTGTATCTGACAGGTGAAGAAACGGAGGCCGAGGAAAGTTAAACCCTCTGGTCAAAGTCACCCAGCTGGCAAAGAATCAAAGTCTGCTGGACTCTGCAGCTGTGCTCTCATGACAGCTCCCCTGGCCTGAGCCCCGCACACTCCTGCTCACCGCTGCCTGGGAAGCACGTGTCGACAGTGTGCAACTCCCCGCTCCAGCACAGGCTGGAACCCGGCACTGGGGTCCCAGGCACTATGGCCAACAGGGCTGCGACTGTCTTGCTCCCTGGCTGGGACCTGGCACACGGTGAATGCTCAGTAAGTCTTTGCTAACTGAAATCCGTACAGATTTCCATGAGTAAGTCTTTTCCCCCAGAGACTCCAGATGGAAATCCAGAGGTAAAATGCCTGAGGGAAGGCCTCCCTCTCTGGTGACTGGAAATAGTTTTGTTTTCTCTAATTACAACCCAAGCTTGGGCCTGGGGTTGCTGGGGGCCTGGGGCTCAGAAGAGCAGGCGGAGGTGTTTTGGCTTACAAATGCCACGCCTTTCACCAGCCTGACTCCTTCAACAGAGGACATCTAAAACGATGACAACCGCCTTGGAAACTTCAAGGGCAGCCGGCGCTCCCCTGTTCTGGGTTCAGAGCAGGGCCTGTCTCATTACATGACGCTGAGGAGCCCACCGCCTCCAAGGTCCGACAGTGTCAGCTGGCAACAAGCAGGGCAAGGCTTCTCAGAAACCATGCTGCCTGCAAAATTGCCTCAGTGATGTTGACCAGAAACCGCCAGTTCGAGGGAGTGTGTCCTTGTGTGAGGACACAGGGTCCTTCCATCAGCCGCAGCGAGAGAGACCCTGGCAGGCTGTGCTGTATAAGAACCAGGCTGCAAGGTGGAGGTGAGAGTGAGTTGGGGACGGTGCTCCTGGGGAAGGGACCGGTCTGGGCGCACGCATGGAGGCAGGAAAGCTCAATCCACACCTAGAGAGGCTGCAGCCTGCCTCCAGGGCACCTGACATAAACGTGTTGTGAACGGAGGCCCCCAAAGCTGCGCTGTGGGTAGAAGACTCTCCAGGGCGGAGCAGACAGAGAACCAGGCAGAAGACACGGTGGTGGTGGTGGGGGGGATGGGGAAATTAGGAATGCAAGCTCCTCCACCCCTCCCCCCTCCCAAGGAATCTTCATTTAGAACCAGATCTGTCATTCCGGTGGATGCCAGGAAGTCACATTCTGGAGTTTCCCAGGAAGGGCGTCTCACCAAGGACCTACCTGGGCTACTTCTCTGGCGTTCTTCTCTGGCTCATGCAGCCTAAAAAGGAAAGAGACACACCGATAAAAATACCCTCACTATCTCAAGCGCTCATGCAAACGGGTAAGAATAACATTTAGGTTCCACTTCCTACGCGGGCTGTGGACGCGGATGAAGGATTCACAACAGAAACCCAACTGCTTATCAGAAGTGTGGACTCAGGAGCCAATCTCACTAAAAAGGAATTTTAAACAATGCACTTTTTTTTTCCGAGTAGGAGTCTCACTCTTTCACCCAGGCTGGAGTGCAGAGGCATGCTCACGGCCATCACAGCGTCCATCTGTTGGGCTCAGGCGATCCTTCTGCCTCAGCCTTCCAAGTAGATGGAAGCACAGGTACACCACCATGCCCAGCTACTTTTCTTTTTTTTTTTTTTTGAGTAGGAGTCTCACTGTCACCCAGGCCGGAGTGCAGTGGCACGTTCACAGCCACCCCAGCGTCGACCTGCTGGGCTCCAGCAATCCTTCCACCTCAGCCTTCCAAGTAGCTGGAACTACAGGTATGCACTACCACGCCTGGCTAATTTTTTATTTATTGTAGAGACAAGGTCTCGCCAAATTGCCCAGACTGGTCTCGAACCCGTGGGTCGGGCAATCCACTTTTCTCTGCCTCCCAAAGTGCTGGGATTACAGGCTGAGCCACTAAGCCTGGCCCCTTCTGCTTTTATGTATTATAGAGATGAGGGCTTGCCAAATTGCCCAGACTGGTCTCGAACCCTTGGACTTAGGCAATCCTCTCACCTCTGCCTTCCAAAGTGCTGGGATTATAGGTGTGAGTCACCACACCCGGCTTTTGGCTTTTTTTTCCCCTTTAACCTCCTCTGTTGGTAAGGAGCTTTAAAACATTCTCATACTCAGTGCTGGCGAAGGCGTGGCGGAACTAACAGGTGCATTCATGCACTGCTGTGGGGAGAGAGGGACCCACACAGCCCTTCTGGGGACCAGCTGGCAAAGGCAAGAGCAGGGAAGGTGTCCTCATCTTTTGACTCATAATTGCACTTTTTTGAGAGAAATTCAAAATATAGAAAGAGCTTTAAACATGAAGGCATTTGTCAAGGGCGGGATGGGGGAGGGAGGTTTCCATCTTAAGGGTTCTGCCAGTTGGGACTGGGTAAGGAAATTAGGATAAATCCACAGATAAAGATTTAAAAGGTTTATGAGGAGAGTTATTTTTTTTTAAATTACAAATGCTTACATTAAAGTGATAAGTGAAAAAAGCAAAATTCTCTGTGGGATTATCTCAATTATGAAAAACGCGTGGATAACATGCTGGAAGGAAACACAGCAAAATGCTAACTGCGTTGGTCTTTGCGTGGGATTTTTCTCTCCATTTCAGTTTCCCACATCCTCCAAATGTTCAATATTAAAAACATCTAAGTATTATCATTAAAAAAAGAAAGGGGCTAGGCCAAGATGTCCCAGTTAATCAAAGAAGTTGTTCATGCACTTGATTCGGTAATTGGAGGCCAGGGTTTGGCTGGCTAGAGGATCAAGGTCAAGGTGATGAGTGCATGGGAGCCCTGGGTTCAGTGGGAACTGTGTAAATCCTCAGGCCGGCAGCTCTGGGGATGTTAGCCGGGCTCATGTCAGAATGAGCAGTGGGGCATGGCAGCAGGGTTATTCATGGGCTTGGCATGAGTGGTTGGCTCCAAAAGCGCTTCTGGGGCATGACAAGCCCCACGTGGCCACAGAAACAGCCCTCCAGGAGTGGGGACGTGTCTGAGGGAAGCCCTGGCAGGTCTGTCCCACTCCATGGGCGTTCAGCCATCCTGGGGCTCCCCACTGGCTGTCTGGTTCGAGTCCAACTCCTCCCCCTGCTCAGAGGCCCATGTGGTCTAGCGTGCTGAAGCCCCCAGGCTCATTCGTATCCATCCACTAAATATTTCAGCAGGCCACCTGGTGCTACATAACTTTATGTTTCAACTACAGCCTTGATGACCCCCCTCGACCACTTTTCTCTTGGTTAACTCTTGCATGTCTCTCCCTCAAGCCCCAACTGTGGTGTCACCTCCTTGGGAAGGCTACTCTCTGACAGTGCTGGAATGGCTGGGCGGCCCTTCCCTGACAATCACACACCTCCTTTCACAGCTGCCTATCTGGGTTCCACCACTGTCTGTCTCTCTGTATGCCATGCTTCCTCATCACATGGGTACAGGTGCTCAAAAAGTGACTTGGCACACCACCAGGCAGACTGCTCCAGGGCCTTTGCACACTCAGTCCTTCCTGCTTTTTCATCGTGCTTCGCCCCTTCTCTTCCCTCAGATGCTAAACAGCCCTTTCTCGGGGAAACCTTCACTGAACCCCCAAACTCCAGTATTAAAACATCGGGCTCCTCTCTGTCTTTTTTTTTTTTTTTTTGACTCGAGTCTCACTGGCACACAGGCTGGAGTGCAGTGGCATACTCACAACAACCGAGGCCTCCATCTGCTGGTCTCAGGCGATCCTTCCGCCTCAGCTTTCCAAGTAGCTGGAACCACAGGTGCTCCCCACCATGCCCAGCTCATTTTTAAAATTTATTGTAGAGATGAGGTCTTGCCAAGTTGCCCAGGCTGGTCTCGAACCCCTGGGCTCAGGCAATCCTCTCGCCTCTGCCTCCCAAAGTGCTGGGATGGCAGGCATGAGCCACTGCACCCGGTTGGGCTCCTCTCTTTCAAAGCAATTTCAAGTGGAGCCACTACCTGACTTTCTGTGCCCGTCTCTCCCTGGTCTTTCCTGCCGTGCTCATCATGCCCTCGGTCTAGAGGCGTGGGAGTCACCCTGACTCTTCTCTCTCCTCCTCTACAACCTTCATTTCTGCTCCAAGGCTCGCCTGCTCCATCTCCAAAATATCCAGCACACCCAGCCCCTCTGTCAGTCATCTCCAGCTCCCCAGACTCCTGGAGAGCCTCCTGTCCCATCTCCTTGCCTCTCTTCCTGCCCCTCTGCATGCCATTCTTCACATTTAAAACACAGACAATGTCACCTGCTTTTCTGCTCAACCTCACCGCCTGGTGACATCCACCTTCTGACATCCATCTTCGGATATCACCTGGTGAGGCCCCACCCTCTCCCAGCCCCTCCAGCACTCTTCCCCCCTCTCTGCCCCAGCTACCCTGGCCTCCTCCACGTTCCACGAATAAGTCCAACTGTCTTGCCTCAGGGTCCCTCTCTTTGGTATCCGCTGGCTCCAGATAGCCCGCGGCTGGAGCCTTCTCATCCTTGCCTATCTGCTAAATGGCACCTCCTCAGAAAGCCCCCCTTCTAGCCCTACCGTCCACCTCCCTGCTCTGCTCCCTCCAATACGTGGCTTTATTTTATCCAGTCAGCCCCTGCAGCACATTGCTTATTAACCTTCCGGTTTGTCTGGTGACCTGTCTCCCCAGAGGACCATGAGCACTTCGTGGGGAGGGACCAGGCTGGTCTCATTCACCGCCAAAGTCCCAACATCCAGTCCTGGGCCTGCATATTGTCAGCGGTCCATAGATATTTGCTGAATGAATGAATGAATCTTTCTCATTGGCTCACAAGGGCCACGAGACCAGGGCTGTGTCTCTTCTGTCCCCCTTCAGAACCCCCGGCTCAAGGCCTGACACTGAGCTGCGCTCAGTCCAGATGAATAAATGAAAAAGTCAGGGAAGCCCTGAATATTCCAAGAATAAACGCAGTGAATGTCTGACAAGCACACAAACGGCCGATCGAATGAACCCCAGTGCCCAATTAAGGGAGCAGAGACGCATTTCTCTTCTCGTCTGAGCCGGGAAGATTATAGACGATGTTCCGTCTGCACATTCCTAACCCCAGGAGTTAGAAAGAGCCAATCCCTCTGCTGGTCCTGCAGACCCAAGAGCCCTTTGAGCTCAAAGCGGCACCTCCCCCTCGCTGCCTCCCCGAGGTGCTGCCCGCACCAGCGTCCTCTGGAAAGCGTCTGATCCCAGCAAGCCAGAGCCGAAGCTGGCCACAGCACGGGGAACCACCAGCACCACTCACCAGCTATTGCTTTGGTTTAGAGAGATGAAAGCGAGGAAGTGATCTCATGGCTCCCTTGGTAGACACAGGAAAAATTAAAAAAACAAGCAGAAAATGGTTGGCTTCTCTGGGGAAGTGACTGGCGGCAGGGAGCACGAGATCGGGACAAGGAGAGCCAGCTTTAGTGCCAGGGAAACCAAGGCTGGGGTCATGGTTCCAAGCACCAGCTTTAGTGCTGGGGACACCGAGGCCAGGGTCATAGTTCCCATCCTCACTAGCTGCAGGAGCCTGGGAATGTCATGTGAATTCTCTGAGCCTCAATTTCCTCAACTGTAAGACAGGGACAATAATAACCTTCCAGAACAGGGGTTCTCAGAATGTGACTTGGGAGTAAGAGCCTCAGCACCACCTGAGAACTTGCTAGAAAGACAAATGTGAATCGGGGCTTCAGGGGCGAGGCCTGGCAGTCTGATTTGACAAGCCCTCTAGGGCCTGCTGCACACCCAACTTCAAGAACCACCATTCTGTAACACAGGGCTAGTGATAAATCATAGGGTTTTTGCAAAAATTAAAATCACAAATGAGCTAGTATATGTAAAGGCACAGACAGGCCAGGAGCTTAGTAAGTGCTCAATAAATGGTAGCTGCCACAAATGCTGTCATTATGATTATGGACAATGTTCTTTTCTTCCAGAAGCTCACTGTCTAATTGGGGAGGTAGGACAAATAAACAATAATAACAAGAACAAAACAAAACAGAAATTCTTCTAGATTTGGGGCTGCATCGTGGCTGAGAGGAAGCATTTTAGGGATTCAGAGAAGGAAGAGACTGGGAGTGCTGCAGGGGCTTGGGTGGCATTTGTTCATTTGTTCACTCACCAAACCTCTACCGAGCACCTGTCCCACTCCAGGCACGGTGCCAAGTGCCTGGCTCTCAGCAGCTACGAGCAGTGAACCTTAAGAATGTGGGTTCGAGATCCGCCTGGGCAACTTGGCGAGACCTCATCTCTACAATAAATCAAAATGAGCTGGGCATGGTAGTGCACGCCTGTAGTTCCAGCTACTCGGAAGGCTGAGGCGGAAGGATCGCCGGAGCCCAGCAGGTCGAGGCTGCGGTGGCTGGGAGCGGCCACTGCACTCCAGTCGAGGTGACAGAGTGAGACTCCAACTTAAAAAAAAAGAACGTGGGTTCTGCCCTCAGGAGGCTGGGTTTTAGAGTGGCGGCAAGTGCAGAGATGCCTTGGGGAATCAATGAGGGGCACCAGGAGGGCTCACAGGAAGCCCCTGGCCCTGGAGGAAGCAATGCCCTTGCTGAGCTTAGGAGGAAGAGCAGAAGGTGACCAGATGAAAGAAAGGGGCCCCTCCAGCTACTGTGATGCACAACTCCAGGGGGTGCTGTTTGCAGAGCCCAATGTGCTGGCTGTTCCTGGGGCTGTGGGACCTGAGGGTGCATGAGCAGGGGCGGGGAAGCACATCCTGGGAGAGGCCAGAGTGCAGGGGTGAGGAGGAGGGCAAGGGTCCAGGGTTGGAGGTTGGGGAGAAGAGGACACAGTGTAGCTGAGCCACCAAATGTGAGGACAGGGGTGGCTCAAAGTGACACTGTTCAAACCACCGGGGCTGGACTACAAGGGGCACTGAGAGCTTCAGGAGGGCACCTGGACTTTATCTGAGGGCCACACGAGCCCCCAAAGGTCTTTTGGCAAAATTGGAAATGAGTCTTGCCCTGGGGAAAGCACACACTCGGCATGGGGGTGTGACAGGCACAGGCATGGCAACAGGAAAGCATGTGACCCTGGGGGACAGCAAAGAGCCTGGCTCTGCTGGAGATGGGGCTCTGCTGGTTCTGGGCAGGAGGAGGCTGGGAGGACAGGCAGGACCGAGAGGAGGCCGGAAGGCTGGGCAGGGCTGAGGGGAAGCTGCCTGTGTAGGGCACAGGAGAAAACAAGGCTTTCTGCCAGTAGCACCTCACTCACGCTGCTGGGCAGAAGAGGAGCCCGAAGCCTCCCAGAGCCCCCTGCAGCAGGAGAGACGCTCCTGCCATGAGTATTTGGCCCTCATCCCATCTCTTGTGCCCCCCTACTCATGACAGCACCCCTGCCTGCCTTGAGGCAGTCCTCGACCCTACAGCGGATTCGTCAGCAAGTCCTCTTGGCTCTACCTTCAAGATACACCCAGAATCTGACCTCTTCTTGGCCCACTCGCCCTTTGGCCCAGGCCACCCATCCCCTCCTGCCTGAATGGCTACAGCAGCCCCCGCGCCATTCTCTCTGCCTCCACCCTTACCTCCTACAGCCCGGGCTCCACACACAGTCAGGGTAACACTTCTCAGACAAAAGTCAGATCATGTCCTTCCTATGCACTTCACCCCACTGGGAGTAAAACCCTGAGTCCACCCAACAGCCACAGGCCTAGGCCCACTGGCCCTACCCCAGACCCTCATTCCTGCTCTGTGATTCTAAAATCATGAAAGCTCTAAAAAAAAAAATCGAAAGATTGGTTCAATGCATTTAGTCACAAAACCAGACCGGAACCAACATGAGGCTATGTGTTTATCACCTGAGCATGGATGTCCACACATAGCCTTGGCAGATCACGAAGTGCCGCCCCCTCTCTGCTGGGGTGAGATCAGAGACCTTCCTAGAAGCTGAAGAGGTCTTTTTGCTGGAAGGTTCCTGACACATCCGGCTGCAGGGCTTCTGTGAAGGTCCCAGGACCTCATCACCCTGAGCACGTCCCCTGCCCTCCCTCTGGCCCAGCACATGGGCCTCCTCCATTCATCCCACGTGGCCCAGCTCAGGGCCTGTGCCCTGCCTCTCTCTGGCCCGGAAGCTCCTCCGTCACAGCTCCCTAGCTTTGGGGCTCTGCTCACATCCCATCTCTGGAGGCGGCCCTTCCTCTGCCCAAGACAGCCCCCCCCAACTCATCTCCATCCCCTTCCTGGGCAAGCATCACCGCCACCTGGCATGACGTTATGGGTCATTTCACTTTCATACTGTTGCCTGCGTCCCTCACTGGCGTCTGGACCCCACGAAGGCCTGAGTCACCAGCTGACCTCACCAGCTGGCCTAGAATGGGGCTGGCACACAGTAGGGACTCCGGGCCCCACAAACGTGGATCAGCAACCTGACATACCATCTGGGATGTAACGTCACTGCCTGAGCCTCTGACCAGGCCACGAGCCTCAGGAGGGCACAGATTCCATCCTGCTCACCTCGGCGCCCCCAGGGCTGCGGCATGCCAAGGAACTCAGTAAATATTTACTAGACTAAAGGAACAGCTCGGACCTGGGAAGGATGCAGCGGGGCAGCGTGCAGGATGTCCCTGAGGACAGAAGGCTCAGAAGGGCCCTTCTATAGTCCAGGTGGGACTGGTTAAGGGCCTCGCTGTCTGGGAGCCCCATCTGGGAGAATAATTAAAAGCAACATGTCCCGGCATGAGGAGGTTACAATGCAAAGAAACAGCATGAGAGTGAGGGTCAGTGGGCATGGATTACACACTGCATTTTCGGGGCTGTCAAACAACCAGACACCAACTGCAAGAGCTTCCTGGACCAACGATGCACTCACCTTGTAGAAGAAGTGGAACCCTTGGCTGAAAGAGACAGAAACAAAAGCCAGTTATTTAACTAGAACAATTTTCTTATGAAACATTTTAAGGGAGCAAAGGCTTGCCTCCAGACAATGGGAGACATTACTGAGAACATATCCTCCAGGCCCACCCAGTGGGTAGCGCATGCCCTCCCATCGGGATGCCACGAGGGAGTGAGCCAGGCCTACCCGCTTTCCCACATCCCTGCGTTGCCAGGGTTTCAAAGCAGCCTTCGGCCTGGGAGGAGCCGACTGCCTGACCTCCGTCGGGTCTCACCTACATTCACCCACCAACCCCAGTGGAGCCCTTCGCTGCTGGAGAGCAGGGTCCGGTAGGGCTGTGAGCTGGGGCTCAGATGTGAAGCCCAGGTCTGTTACCCACTCGCTCGCTGTGTGCCCCCGGATGGGTCACACCCCTTCTCTGAGCTTCAGTAACTTGCAGGGTTGGGCTGGGCATCCATTTATTTACAAGTCACCACTTTCCAAGAAAAAAATATCTTGGCAGGAAACAAATTGTCCATCTGGGTCAGGCCCAGAGGTTAAAATCTGTGATACGGGGCAACCGCAGAGCAGCCTCAGGGGTTCAGCAGCCGTCAGATTCCCCTTTTGCTGGGAAATCACAATTAAGAAGCACCATGCGCGCCCAAATGCCACACAACAAGTCAGAGGTTGTCATGATGCAAGAATCCTCACTGCCAGGTTAGCGTTTGGTGCCCAGGCAGGGGTTGGATATTTAGGAGCGCCAGTGTCCGTGGGAGCTGCCTCTCAGCTCAGCTCTCAGCGTGGAGGCTGAATCAGGTTGCAAAGAGCTAGATATACCAAGAATCCAGTTGACAGGACACCAAGTGCTCTCATCTCACACCAAAACTCTGGGTGATCCACAGTTCACACAGCTGTGAAGTGGCTGGGTTGAAATCGGGACATCTCACCGTGAGAGCTGTGAGGTGGAGGACGGGCAGGCCCCGAGGGCCTGATGAGGACTAAGGGGTGTCCCACTAGGCTGGAGGGAGGTGATGTGCAGGGTGGTCCCTGGGTCTGAATCCTGACCCCACCACCCACCAGCTGTGGGGCAAGTTCTTTTTGTTTTTGTTTTTGTTTTGAGTTGGAGTCTCACTCCGTCACCCAGACTGGAGGGCAGTGGCATGCTCCCGGCCACTGCAGCCTCGACCTGCTGGGCTCTGGCGATCCTTCCGCCTCAGCCTTCCAAGTAGCTGGAACTACAGGCACATGCTACCATGCCCAGCTAATTTTTTTATTTATTGTAGAGACGAGGTCTTGCCAAGTTGCCCAGGTGGGTCTCAAACATGCAGGCTCAGGTAATCCACTCACCTCGGCCTCCCAAAGTGCTGGGATTACAGGCTGAGCCACCGAGCCTGGCCAAGGGGCAAGTTTTATAACATCTTCATGTCTCAGTCTCCTCATCTGTAAAATGGGGTGATACCACCCCCGAGGTCTGTGGTGAGGACTGACTGTGCCCTGTGGGCACTGCCTGGCTTATTGCCAAGTGGGCGCCTGTTGTCCCTGCCACTGCAGCCGATGTCGGAGCTGGGCTCTGCACACAGCCCCACACTCAGGTTGTGGGAGGCTGGGCAGCTTTCACGAGCACCCGCAGCTCTCCATGCCTCACCCAACCCCACAGTAATGAGCTCACATTTGCCAGGAGCCCGGCATGGTGTCTGGGGCTGAGACTCAGGAAGGAGGGCTGGGATTTCACTAATGGTCACTGTGAATGCTCCATCCACGGGGTGGCTTGCCACCCTTGGGGGGGCATGTCCTTCCTGGGTGGGGTCTCCAAGAACTTCAGGGGACCCATCGGGCAGGGTTCCCGGTGGGACACCTTGTAGGCTCTGGAGAGGCAGAGTGGACTCCACCTTCTTGGATGGGAGCTTGAGGCTCAGCCAGCATCAAAGAGCACAGAATCCTTCCACCAGCCCGGGAGGGAGGGACACTTGGTGGGCAAAAGTGGAGGAGGTACAGAGGGAATGTGTGACTGACGCACAAAACAGCCATTGAGCTCTGCTGGGCATGCGGCCACAGAAGGGCAGCACTTGGCACTTCACAGGCGGTGGCTCGTGGTGGGTCACAACAGCATTTTTAACAGGAAACAGAACAGAATATGACAAAAAGGACACATCAGAGTTTTAACTTCAAATATAAAGGGGTGTGCTTCTCTGTGTTGGGTTCAGACGTGAAATGAAATACATTTGTATTTCTATTGCTTTGTAGTAAGAATACGTTTCAGAAATACCAGCTTCAAGTCACCAAACAGCAAACATGCATTCATTGAGCCCCTAGAACCTGTCGAACTTGTTATGTCACATGAGCTCATTTGGTTCTTGTAAATATGCTCCAAGATAAGTGTTGTTGGAGCCATTTTACAGATGAGGAAGCTGAGGCCCACGGAGGCCAAGCTGATTGTTTAGAGTATACAACAAGGGTCTGGAACCCTGCTTTGCTTGATTTCAAAGTAAGAGTCCTTGCCACCACAACGACAGATACTCCCCGGGCATGCACAGCCATACACGATGCATCACACAGTCACGGGGAAGATGTGTCCTTGAACCTGTGTCCTCCTGCTGTGCGGTCAAAGTTATGCTACCTTCCCCCGTGAGGGGGCTTTCAGGGAGGTGGTTCGTGTTTCTGGCTCACATTCAATACTGATCGCAAGAGCCGACACTGATTAAGCATTTGCTGTGTGCCCGGCACTTTCCCAGTCTGAGGCCCTCAATCCCCTATCCTTGCAGGAGGTGGTGTTTTAACCCCATTCCCTGTGGCTGCTCATCCAGGGTTGGACACTGAGCCTGGACATGGAAGAGGAAAGCAGAAGTTTGCCAGGCGGCTCCTGGAGAGTACAGTTTCTTCCCCGAGACATGAACGAAGAATCCCCACAGTCCCTTTCGCCACCCTGGCAGCCCCCTGCTTCCTCGTCAGTCATGGCTCCATAAAGACACGGGACCTGGGGCAGTGGTGACCATCTTGTAACCAAGAGGGAAAGACCGTGGAGTGACCTGCCCAGATTCCAACATGGTGAAGCTGCAGCTGCAGTCCCCAAACTCCACCCTGATCGGGATTTCTTTCTCCTGGAAATCCCAGATGTCCTTAGGGTTTAAGTTACTTAACCCTAAGTACCTAGTGGCTGTGCCCCTGAGGACAGTCCAGAGAACAGTCTTAGGGAGGGAGACAAGAATGCACCTACCTTTCTTCTGTCTGACACGGAGGAGGTAGAGGACTGCCATCAGCAGGGCCACCAGCAAGGCGCATACCACGCCCACCACAACATAGATGCTCCAAGTGTTTCCATTGTTGCCTACGGACCACACGGGACAGAGACTCACAGATGCTGGTTAAAATCAGACAAGACCCAGCCCACGGCCGCCCTCCATCACTAAGCTGGCATTGCTGACTGAGAACGTCTGATCCTAGGCCACACAGGCACATGCACAGATCTGCACACACCTGCCCACGAGGTTCGGCCATGAAAACCATGCAGAAGTACTAGGAAAACAGTGGCTACTGACAGCCTTGGAGGAACCCCAGCTGCAGCATGTGGGCAGAAATCTCACTCCTAAGGAACAGAAACATGCTCCTTCTCATGGGAGGGAATCACAGCGCAGCCACAAGGGTGGCCCAGATCCACCTGAAACTCTGAATCAGCAACTGGGAGATGGGGCTGTGGGAAATGGCAGACATGCCGGCCAGTTCTCGGCTCTGCAGAGCTCAGGGGCTGACCTCGGATCTGTGCTTGGGACCTGGGCCATGCACACGGGCTCAGGTGTTGGCATAGGAACTCCGAGCCAGGACACTTGTGATGGAGACAAGGCCTGGCTGGCCCAGGACACAGGCAGGGGCCCTACACTAGGGCAGGTAGTCAGGAACAGGGCTCTGAGCCACAGAAACACAGGTTCAGTGAGCACCCCGACTGGTCGTGTGGCCTTAAGCAAGCGATTTAAACCTCCGTCTACACCGTGGCTTCCTCTTCCATTACTGGGGCCAGTAGTGACCTCATTGGACAGCTCCGAGGATGACCTAATGAACCAACCAATCAACAGATTCTTTCAACTGCTCTACAAATATCTGCTGAGTGCCAAGTCCCGAAGCCACTATGCTGAACAACACAGTCAGTCATGGCCCCGACCAGCTGAGATTCTGCGCTGAGGGGTCACAAAACTCACCTCCTTCAATACTGCGGTGAGACAGTACAGGCCCAGAGAGAGGCACTGACTGAAGGCCACACAGTGAGCCCGTGTCAGAGCTAGAGTGGAAAGCCACACACCCTGGCTCCCAACACATCCTATGAAAATCTGGCACCTGTGAAACCAAAGGGCCACTTGGACATGGCCCCCCAAGGCTTCCACAGAGCTTTCCTGAAGGGATATGAAGGAAAGCAATGGCCTCTATACTCAGCCATCCAAGGGTTTCTACTACGTACAAAGCATCAGCCATGTAGATGGCAGGTGACAGGACATCCCACAGTGGCCCTAAAATGCCAGCTAGGTGCTGTCACTTGAAGATAGAAGAGAGCTACACCAGCAGCACGTTGGAGGGGCTGAGAAAGATGTTGTACTCTTGACACTCTCGTATTCTCAGGAGAGTGGCAGTGCTGTCTCCCCTCACGTGAGAACGCCCTTTGTCACACGTGGGCCAGAACATGCACAAGGATGTTCACTGCGGCACTGCCTGTCTCAAGACAAGCTGCCAACATCCTGAATGTCCCACACCCGCTCTCAGCAGGGAGACTTGCGAAAGCAGCCAGGGAGACCAGGCAGAGGCCAGAAAGAGCTGGGGGGCAAGGGGTGCTGACAAGGAAACAGGAACACACAACAGTCCAAGTGTCCTGCCTTGGGAAAGGCCCAAGGCAGGACACTGTGAACCGATGATGGTTCCTGCTCTCTTCCTCCTTTCATATATATTTATGCCAAAAGATCTATCATGATATGAACCAGACTCTACCAGTGGTGACTCTTGGAGTACGGGATTTGGGGGAATGGAGCTGACTTAAAAATTCTACTTTATATATATATTTCCAGATTAGTTTATAATAAGCATAAATTACTACTTTTATCATTTAAAAAGGATAACATAGTGATAAACCGGTACAAGAGCTGGGCCAGCTTGAATGGGGCCTCACCAGGGGTAGCCTCTGTGCCCGGCTCCCTCTGGTGGGCTGAGACCTCCAGGGCATGGCTGCTGCTGATCGCTGGCTGCCCGTCATGCTCCACCTGGCAGGTGAGCACCACATCATCCCTGTGGGTGGATGAGTTGACCAGGAGCCAGCTGGTCCAGTTGTAGGTGCCATCCTTGTTCTCTGCGAGGGTTGAGGCTGTTTCTGTCCGGGACACGTTTCCATTCTCCAACCATGTCAGTTGGAGGCTGCGAGGGTAGAACTTCTTCACCAGGCAGGTGACGTTCACCTGGTTCCCGGCTCTCACGGGCTGCTGGGTAACCTCCACGGTGGGCGGAACTGAAACAGCACAGGGCAGAAACTCTGACCTGACGGCACAGACAGACCACAGAGGAGGGCTCTGTAGTGTGGCTCCCACCACCATGGCAAGGGCATCACTACCGGACAGTGCTAGGCATGCAGCAGGCATTCAGACATTGAGGGAACTCTGCACACAGCAGGTGCTCAAGGACTGGCAGCTCCTGTCAGGACAATAATGACTGAAATCAACGAGTACAACCCACGGCATGCAGTTGAAATGTCATAAATTTAGCAAAATAAGTGAAATTGCCAAGCACACGGGTCTTGGCTTATTGAGGTGCTCACTAACTATAATCGCTCCAGGTAAAATAAATGAAACTACTAGCACAGTGCTTGGCACGTGGTGGGTGGTCACCTGGCAGCTGCCATTAAAATGATCGTAGGTGATGGGCACATCTAGGGGCATGGAAGGTGGGCAGAACAGTTAGAAATTAGATTCCAGTCAATTCAACCGCTGGAGAAAAAGATAGGGGAGGTGGGCGGGGGGGGAGCTTGGCACAGGGTGGACCAGGTGTCAGTGTCCTCTACCTCGGATGGCCTCAGACAAGTTGGCAGTCCCACGAAGCCGGCTCCCCTGCAAGGTGACGTGAGCCACCTCGCAGATGACCTGAGAGTGGACGTCCCCGGGGGCCAGCACCACCCTGGCTGTGCTGTTGATGCTGTAGGAGACACTTTTTTCTGCGGGCTTCACGCTGGTCTTGACGTCGGAGAGTGCATTCCCATTTTTGAACCATTTCAGGGTGATGTTCCGGGGGGAGAAGCCGTGAGACTCGCAGGTGAAGGTCACCGTGTGATGAGGTGTGGCCCTCACTGCAGGGCCCGATACCACGGGGGCAGAGGGCTTGGCTACAAAAGGAGCGTTGACAGAAAGGAGACATGACTGCCATGACCACCGCTAACAAGAAGCGTGTGACACTGTCAGGAACCTTCATGATTAGTTTAAACCCTTTCTGATAACACCGGCGGGGGGAGTCCTTATCCTCACTTTACAGAGCAGGACACAAAGGCTCTCAGTGGTGATAGACCAGCCCAAGGTCAGATATTGAGTGGGACAAGGCCTGAGGGAACTCCAGGTCTGAGTTCAAAGTCCTCTGTGCACAGGGTGATTCCACCAGTGTGGGCCAGGATCAGAATTACTGATTGGTGTCACCCTTGGTATTGATTATTCTTAGCTGACCTCCCCTGGGTACCCTGCCATCCTCAGAGAGGGCGTGGATAGAAGTCAGTGCAGGGACAAGAGGCAAAGTGACACCACCATGACCGCTGGACCAGGCTGGCACTTCCCCTGGGGGGGGGAAGGTGGCCTGGCACTTCCAGCTCCTCATCTGTAAATGGGACAGTGGTATTCCTCCTTCCCGGGGGCAGCAAGAAATAAATGAGGCGATGGAAGCAGTTGTGCTTTGGATCAAGCACAGACGATGCTTCAGAAAACTAAGCGAACACAGATCTGTCTCCCAGACTATGTTCACGCCCAGAGCTCTCCCTCAGGTACTTATGAGTTTCCTCCATGTTTCTCATTCTTTCCACAAATGTTTCAGAAGGGTCTAATATGTGTCAAGTGCTAAATTTGAAAAGAAGGGAAGTTTTTCTCTATCGAGGGTCTTCTTTTGGAGTGAAAACAGAGATTCCCAAGTGCTGAGAAAGCCACAGTGGTCGATTTCTTAATTGTTAATTAATTGTAAGAGCCACAGATGCAGGCCATCTAAGCAGGCAGAAGCACTTCCTGGGTCCAGAGAGCCCCCAGATGGGAGTGTCAGAGCAACGGGGCCGTTTCTCCCAGTAGATGAGACCCAGAGGGTCTCCAAACTGCTCATGATTACCCTGCACCTTCTATGGCAGTCACGCATCACATATACTTGAATTGTTGATATTAACTTGCTCCCTAACATCTGGATAACATTTTGAGGGCACAGTCAGGAGGGTGGCAACTGAAGAAGTCAAGTCATCATGACACTAGCCACAAGAAAGTCTCTAGCGGGGCAAATTTTCATTGAGGGCTTCTTGGGAACCTGTGCTGGCTGCTCCCTCTGTGCCCCTCAGCTACGGATGTCCAGTCCAGCCCCATGAGGGGGTCCCCATACGAGCTCCTTAATACAACGAGGCTCAGAGAGGAGCCTGGCTGGCCAAAGGACTTAAGTGGATAAACACCCCACCCTGGTAAGAAGAGGGAGGAGAAATACAAACACAGAGCCTGGCACATAGTCGGTCTTGATAAATAACCCACGACTGTCATCAGGGGATTTGGTCATTACTGGTCTTGCTACTGCACATTTATTCTCTGGGCTGTAAGAAGGCAGAGCAAAGCACAGGGAAACTCCAGGAAAAGTCTAAAGCCCCGCCGCCGCAGCTGCCTCGACAAACCCAAATGATAAAAGGAGCAGAAACCACCAAATGCTGACCCTCTCCCCTTTTCTCAACAATCCCCTAGAAAACCAGTGTGGGGAACCGGCTCTCAAAATACAGATAAGATCACAGTGGTTCCCTCAAGGGACCTATTACAGAAACTGGAAGCTTTTGGAAGGTGGATGGAACAAAGTCCTCAGGGACATCTAGGTATGTCGAGGCAGAGAGGGTTCTGGGGTAAAGGAATGAGGATTTGCTGGTATTCCAGCGACTGTTTAGAATCAAACAGCGACTGTTTAGAATCAAACACGTTTTAAGATGTGAAGGTTCCCCAGCACAGAGGATCTGAGCAGGGCTCTGTATGGGCCGCCCACCTCGGGCCCTGAGCCTGCTCCGTGGGAGGGTCCTGGCCAGGCCACTGGGCCTCCTGAGATGTCCCCAGCACATGCTGTTCTGAAGCACCCACACCCAGAAGGGCTGTTCTCAAAGCCTGACACCACGGGCACCAGTTTTCCTACAGGGAAAAAAAGCAACTTATCCTCTGTAGCCTTACAGCATCTGTGTTGGGAGTTCTCAGCCCCGGCTGTCTGTCAAGATCTTCTGGAGGCATTAGAAACCTCAGATGCCCAGGCCCATGCCAGAACAATCAAAACCGCGCTTCTAGGGTGGAGCCTGGGTCTGGGATTTATTTCAAAGTCTACCATGCTCTTCTCATGAGCAGCCAAGGTTGAAGTTCACCCAATCCACCCTCAATCCCATTTATACCTGAGGCCTGCAGGAGAACTGACCGAGGTCATGTGCGCTCGTCACAGCCCAGTTCCCACGGAATGACCATCTACCGAAAGCCAAGTGCTACTCTAAAGCTTTAGTGATTTCACTCATTCAGTCCCTACCTCTGCTCTGTGTGGTTGGGTTATCCGCAACAGGTGAGGACGCCGAGGCCCACTGTGGTAGAGTGTCTTATCTGATGTCACAGAGCTGGGAGGTGGCAGAGTGGGGAAGTGGCCTGGGCAGTAGGACTCTGACCCGTGCTCTCCTAATCACTGGGCCACTGACACCAGTAAAAACCCTAACACTACTATCCAGGCTCTGTGCTCATCCGCCCTCCTGGGTGCCTAGGCCTGGCTACCCCATAGCCGTAAATGGAAGACAGGGCTCCTGGCAGCCCAAGGGCAGAGTGTAAACTCTTGCTCACATGAGCCCCAAGCCCCCTCTAGGAAACAACTCGTCTCTCCACCCTCCTCCTGGCATCATGATGTTGGGCACAGGGTCTGCTGGGCTGCAGGAGGCCTGATTTGCTCCGTCCTTGTAGACAGTGAGGAGGACCAACACAACACGGGGGAGGCCCAAGTGCTCTGTGTGTGCTGAGACACGCACATCAAGGGCAGGCCACACATCCTAGGTCTGCAGGATCTCTCTGAAGGAGGGTGAAGCCAGCCCTTCCTGCCCACAGGACTCTTCTGCTTCTTTTCAGTACTTAGTGTAGAACTGAAAATTCAAGAGTTTAGAATGAGCAGGTTGGAGCATTTCTCACAGTGACATGCACAGCTGGGGGTTGCAGGGACAGGAGCTGTGAGTGAGGCTGGTGAGGTTCACATCCAGGCTCTGTGCTCATCCTCTCCAGGTCCCCCAGAACCTCAAAGGTTAGCCGTGACCATCACCATTCACAGATGGGGAGGCCTTGAGAAAGACAAGACTTGCCCAGGATCACACAGGTTTGGGAAAACAACCCCATCACTTTTCTCCCTAGGCTCACTGTGTCCTCATAATGTCCTGGAGAGGTTGGTACAAGCAATCAAGTTCTACAAATGGGGAAACTGAGGCTCAGCAAAGGGAACTGGGTCACCCAAGATCACACAACCTTGAAATAACACCTCAATTTAGGGGTCGCCACTCTGTACTAGGTGATTTACAGAGTGAACCTCAAATCCTTCCCACTCTCCTACAGGAGTCCACGATTACCATTTTACAGATGAGAGGCTGAGGGAAGTGAAGGCACTGTCTCCTCATCCCCATGCGTTCTGTGGGCATTTCCTGTGTCCCCCAAGCTTTCATGTCCACCAACAGAGCAAGGGCCCCAAGCTTCATAATCCCTGACAGTGACCCACCTCCCCTTCCCTGGACAGTCTTGCAGTTCCAGAAGAAGCTGCCCTCCTGGGTGCCTAGGCCTGGCTACCCCATAGCCATAAATGGAAGACAGGGCTCCTGGCAGCCCAAGGGCAGAGTGTAAACTCTTGCTCACATGAGCCCCAAGCCCCCTCTAGGAAACAACTCGTCTCTCCACCCTCCTCCTGGCATCATGATGTTGGGCACAGGGTCTGCTGGGCTGCAGGAGGCCTGATTTGCTCCGTCCTTGTAGACAGTGAGGAGGACCAACACAACACGGGGGAGGCCCAAGTGCTCTGTGTGTGCTGAGACACGCACATCAAGGGCAGGCCACACATCCTAGGTCTGCAGGATCTCTCTGAAGGAGGGTGAAGCCAGCCCTTCCTGCCCACAGGACTCTTCTGCTTCTTTTCAGTACTTAGTGTAGAACTGAAAATTCAAGAGTTTAGAATGAGCAGGTTGGAGCATTTCTCACAGTGACATGCACAGCTGGGGGTTGCAGGGACAGGAGCTGTGAGTGAGGCTGGTGAGGTTCAAACCTTAGCTCCCCGACCGCCCTCAAAGCAAGTTCCCTCTCTGAGCTTCAGTGTCTTCATCTGTAAGAGGGGCGGCGGATGGTCCCTCTCCTACAGCACTGGTTATAAGGAGAATTCGGCCCAGTTGCCACCCCTGGCTCCCTCCCTGTCTTGCTCCTTCTCATC